CCCCAAAACCCCAAAACCCCAAAACCCCAAAACCCCAAAACCCCAAAACCCCATATAAGAGAGAGCAGATTGATAATAAATATTCCAGTGCCAAAACTCTACATTTGGATTATTAATGTCTTATTTAAAGAATTATAAAACAACTGCACTCCGTGATTACACAAGGAGTTATCGAGTGCAATATAATGCTGGCTATGATAGAGGTAGCACAGCACAGTCCAAAAAAAACAGAAGGGGGCAAAGCAAAAGAGAAATTGGAAAAGACCTTACCAAAAATACTACAGAACATAGCAAGATAGAAAATAAGAGAAGAAATAAGAGCGAAGCAACAGAGTCAAAAAATCAAGAAAATGGAAGATACAACAAAAGAGATCAAACAGGAGAAACACAGAGAGATGAAGAGAGAGGGAGATGAATGGAAAAAGGAAACAACTATTCTACTATAAGGAAAATGACAAGAGAAAGGCGATTATTGTCAAAGAAGTCTAAGAAGCAAGATGAGCCAACTAAAAAGACTAAATATGAACAAGAAACCGAACAATATAAAGCTACTATCAAAAAATATGAAAAGAGACAAATGTCAAATTTGAACGTTAATGTCCAGAAGCATTTAGATAAAAAGTAAACTATAAAGTTATTTTTAGGAAAACAATTCGTGAGAATCACAATCCAACCCCAAAGGAAACATCTCAAAGAAACAACAACAACAAAGGAGACAACAATCAGACACCCAATCCCCAAAAACCAAAAGACCTCCCCAAACCCTCCAAAACCCCCGCTCCAACTACTCAGGATCCTCCCAAGTCCGACTCTCCTCCACCAACAACAAAAGCTCCTTCTCCATCAAAACCAACACCAATCCCAACCCCACACAAACCCTCCCTCCCCCTCCAGTCTCCCCCAAAACAGCCTGAAATATCCAAAAATCCTCTACTAAGACCCACCGCACCAACATACACCCTACCTCCTCCCAAAGAAGTCAAGACCAATCCTTCCCAGGCAAAATCAGCAGCTGCTACTAAGAAGGCTCTACAGGAAAGAATTGCAGAACAAAAGCTTGTTAACCCTACTCCTAAAGTAGAGAACACCATGCCCAAAGTTCCTAAAGAAGAGGTCAATCGGAATTGGCAGGAATATGTTGGTAATGGATTGCCGGGCAAGGTAAGATTTGGGGGTTGTGGTGAGGTGAACAAAATGGGCTATTTTAAGAGAGATTGGATAGTTTGGAAACGAGTGTTTTGATATTTATAGCTTAGTTTTTCTCATTTTTAGGGAGTTTGTTTAAGTTTATAAATTTTGATTGGTAAACTTAAATCCAATAATTTGGAAAGTAATATGAGAAGAAATTTTAGGTTTTAGTGATTTCGATCTTTACTTTGACTTTCCGATGGGTTATTTTTATTTTTAATAACAAAATGATTATACCTGAGTGCTAAAGCATCCCATTTAATCACTTAGAGAAGAAATTGAGATATATTTTAATTTAAATTTTAGCTAGATTATGACAAATCTTTTGTAAGAAAATATTTAACAATATTTAATCTCTTCTTTATTTTCATGCAATCAATTAAATTTTCTATCATTTTCTTGCTAAATAAAATCATTTTTATGCTTCTTGGCTAAAGCTCTAAAAATATAGCCTCCAAAGAAGAATAATGGACCAGATTCAGATAAACAGAAATCCAAGGAAATTATTCCTTCTGTAGGAATTGAAAATCCTTGATTCGATTGATTTTTGATTTCATCTATCCAAGCTCTTTTTTCAGTTAATCAATTCTTTGATTATTTTCATGATGCCAGACCTAGTATTAAAGATAAATTTTCAGAGAGACTTTCTGAATTTTGCATAAATTACAAGAAAACTAAAGATAGTTTCATTCCCATAAACAGATTAAGATCGCTTTCTTCTAATGAATTTATAAATTATGAACAACATGATGCTACTCAGTACATTCTTCACTTATTCGAAAATATACAGGAAGAGGCTAATCCAGGTGCTCCATTCTTTACATCTTCTGGCTATACTAGTGCAGAAGCTGCTTGGAAGGCCTACTCCAAAGACCACGATTCTATCATAGACAAGCTCTTTGTAGGAATGTCTCAATCAAGATTTATTTGTGATGGCTGTTCAGAAGAGACCTCTGTTTATGAAGAATTTAAGACGACAAACCTTACATGTGACAACTATTACAAGAGAAAGAATGCAACACACATTAGAGAGCTCGGAGAAGAGGTACAATGGAGCGAGATGTATTGTAAGCAATGAGAGGATATTAGAGTCTGTCAAATTAAAAAGACGATAACTCATTTACCAGAAAATGTCATCATGGTGTTGCAGAGATTTGATCCTGTTACTCAGAGAAAAATTCATGATAAAATGAAATTTCCTTTAAATTTTACAATAAAACAGGAAGGAAATGCTTTGAGAACTCCAAAATATAAGCTAAAGAGTGCTATTATCCATAGAGGAAGTCTTACAGGAGGACACTACACTTGAGTAGCTAACAGAGGTGACAAATGGAAGTTGTTTAATGATGAATCTGTGAGAAATATCTACTCTAGCTCTCCTGAAAAAGAAATAGAAGATGCGTACATTTTGATGTATTCCAGAACAGATTAAGAATATTATGATAAATATTATCAGCTACTTTCAATTAGATTTTCCAGAATTGGGGTTTTGGGGTTTTGGGGTTTTGGGGTTTTGGGG